TAGTTCCTCGCTGGCTGAGACACCGAGAGGGTTGGGTAGGTTTGCCTGCTCCTCCTCAAAACCCACTAGCCCCCAGCTGCTGCCAGAACCATGAAATAGTCTGCGTGTGCTGGACGCTGCTCTTTGGAAGTTTTCAAACTTCATGTCAATGTGGCAAACATATAAGATTTTATGGATAAGCAATACATAAGTGGAAACACACCCCTAAGTATGATCTATTCCTTTGCTTCATGCTTGCTCCTTGGTGTGATTCTGAACAGCAACATGCCTATGATGGTTTGTCAAAATGAAAAGCACATATTCTTCCCCCCAATGATCGTAACTCAGATGGTACATATGATGTGTAGTTATCACCAAATGTATAAAATGATCATAACACCTGGCTTACCCGTATGCAGCTTAGCAGTGGTAAATCAAACAAATCATGGGCAAAGCGCAAGCATTACTAAGAATCTGCAAAAGCTTACGTATTAGGGAACATTTAGAAATGTACCTAGAGGCACCACCTTACCAGCTGACCCTTGCCCTTTATAATCTGCACCCTAGCCGAAGGGATGGGGTTTTTGGTTTTAGTTTTTACTATTTTATATTATGTAGGTGGCATATCCCCAAAAATGTTGGATACAATTTTAAATTAGTGACTTTACCCCAGATTTACTGTGTCCTGTTTCACCCATTGTTTGGAGGTTACCTGTCACAGCTTCCCAAGCCAATTGACCTGACTGAGGATAACGGCTAGGGAAATATGACCAAGCCTTATAAGTTGTCAGACTTAATGGTGGGCGTGTGTGTGTGTGTGTGTGTGTGTGTGTGTGTGTGTGTGTGTGTGTGTGTAATGTGAAAAATAGGGTATGACTTTCAGGATGTATGAGCTCTACATTGTAAATTATTCCACAGAATCTGGAGAGAACAGAGGAACGATAGTAATGTGTGTTAATATTAACAGTTGACATTTCTATTATACATCTTTAAAAATAGTTAAAATATCAAAAGTGATTAAAATCAGGTATGTATTTTTTTCCTGTTATATCCCCCCCTTTTTTTACTGTCAATGATGAGACAAAAATATTTGGGTTTAATCTGGAACTCAAAGACAACTGCAGAGAAACAACGGAAGGTTGTGGTAGCGTGGCTGAGACCCACCCAGCATGGCAAAGCCCTTGCTCCCTACTCACAGGCGGGAGACCGAAGCTATGGTGTAAGTATGAGTGTGAGGGCTTCCACTGTCAACGGAGACTCTTGGAGGGCGTATTAAACCACAGCCTTCCAGCCCTGCTTCTAGCCAGCCTTGCCGGTGAAAGGCTCAGGGCTTCAGACTTACAAACTGTACCGTCACCAATTCCAAAGTGGAATTAGGAGTCCATTGAAATGTCATGAGGGGTTACTCCTTACTCCGAATTCTCTGTGCTCAAGTTACTCTGGAAAACAAGAAGCTCGCAGACACCGTACTGGGACTCTATATGCATTTTCTCCCCTCCTGTATGACATTTAGCTTAGTCATGAGTTTATTCTGGACTACGAACTATGGTTCCCCGACTCCTGTGACAGTGAAACCAGGTATTTGGAAAAACATCTTTAGAATGTGTTTTCTCTTGTGTTGAGGGCCATTAGATTCCTCTGTTCCTGCAAGGTGCATCCAACTAGCCCAAAGGCCTACATAAGAGTGATTTCGCCAGAGGCAGCTCACAGATCACAGCCCATCACGGGGCTTCTGACTGATATCTTTGCCATAGCTAAATCAGGAGTGCTGCTGTGACAGACTGGGAGGCATTCTGGGAGACTACTCTAGGAAGATCTGTGTAATGATGGAGGGAAAACAGTTTCTGAAATCAAGAGAAGGAGGAGGAGGAGGAGGAGGAGGAGGAGGAGAAAAAACAGACACACAGGAAAACCCAAATGTACTTGGTAAAAGAGGTCACTCCTTTAGTGAACCCTCCTGCATTTCCAGATGCCCCAGTCAACAGCAGAGCCCATCCCTGTCCTGGGAGCCACTTCAGAGAGGGTCAAAACGGCAAGGCTAGCACTCTCATGTGAGCATTCGCACAAATGTCCGCATCACTATCCTTGCGTGATACAAAGCGTGCTTGAGTTACCTAGCCTGGGGAAGCTCTGTACTGGAACCTTCTCTTGGTAATGTTCTTGACATATACAGATTCAAGAGGCCAGTCTCTCCGGTTCACAGCAAGGAACAGGGAACACTGGCCACAGGGAATGAGTACATACAGTCACGTGGTACAGCAGTGATCTAGATTGGCTGGGGCAAGTTTGTCACACTAAAAAAAATACATGTCTTGGGAACAAGCTTTGGATTGTTCTAGGTTAGTATAGTTTATTTTTATGATTAACTGCAAATGCAGTGAATTCTTAAAAAAACCCTTCCCCGCCCTCCCACCCCTACCCCACGGAAGAGTACAAAGTGCTGGGGGAGGAGCCGAGCAGGGGAGGAGCCGAGCAGGGGCTGATGGGGGCCTGGATTGGCATCAGCTGTACTTCTAAAACACTGTAAAACCCTCCCCAGATTTGGCACTGTGGGGACTATTGGCAACTGGAACTCAGGCCAGGTAGGGAGTCTGGACAGCCTGGGGGCCGGTCCCAAAGCCTTGGCAGTGCAGTTTACGGAAGCTTCTTCCCGTGGACTCCCTCCAGTCCAGTTCTCTGGAAGCTGGACTCGCCCTTCCAGAGCCGCCAGAGGAGGCGGGTGGCCGGTGTGCCCAGCCACATGCTACTGCAGATTCCCTACAGCCGGACACAGGTGAGGAAAGAGCATTCCAGGAGGGCACGGGAAGGGCAAGGGTACTCTGGTTTAATATAACTACTCATCAAACTGCTACTATTTTTGCCTAAAATTTCTATCTTTAAAGAAAGTCTATAAGCCATGGGGGAGGGGAAGAGGCAAGAAAGGAGTATGATATATATGTATATGTATATACACATACACATATATGTATATTCTATTTGGTTGCCGTTAGAAATAAGTTACTTCACCAGAGCAAAATTTACAAGGTGTCCATAAACTCAATTAGAAGATTTTTGTAACTAGTGCAGGCAGTTAAGAAACCTCACTTGCTCAAGGAATAACCAATGGGCTAATTTGGTGTCTTTCCTTTTTTTCTTCACCAAAACATCATGTCATTATTTGTTCTTTACAATAAAAATGTTTCCCAAATTATTGTTTTTTCTTCTTGTTTATACACTTGTGCATGAAGCAAATACAAAAAAGAGAAGTTGACTATGTGGACTGTCAAATCTGGACCCTTAGAAGAAGGGTTGTGGGGACTCTAAGAGCATCCTAAATCCACAAGTGCATCTCTGTCACCGATGGAACCCACATCTGTCTCCTCTGTTCCCCTCCCACTTGACCCACAATACAGATCCACGTGTCCACGTCTCTCCACAGGCCCGTGCTTCTGTCTAACGCGACAGAATGTGGTTTGTACTAACCCATTCTGAGAAGCAGTAACTAAGACGAAAGTAAGCAAATTTCCTGGGAAACCATTATTCTCGACGCAGTCAAAGAAAAGCAAGTTCCCGGAGGAGTGGAGACAGTTTGCAGTCCTCAGAGTCCAAGATAATCTTTTGTTCTCCACACTGGGCTTTGGGCAAGCTCTGCAGCTGAAGGACAGAGGGCTGGGCAGGGGGTAGGGAGGGCTGAGAAGCGGACCTTGAGAGGCCAGGCTGACAAACCCCCACTCTGAGAAAGAACGAAATAAGGCAGGCTCTGGGTGTGGGTCTGCAATGAAAATCTTGGTTCTTTGGGGCTGGTTCAACCCGTCACAAAGGATAACCTAATATGTTCTGTAAATTAACTTATAAAGTACAGAGACTGGGAAAACCCCACAGCTTTGGTGTTAGGAAGGGGAGAGCATCAATCCAGGCCCCCAAGTAACTGTGCTGCTTATCTCTCAGGGTTCTTGCTTGAATTCCCAGGCAGCTCTGCGGCCAGTGCACACAGGTCCCCCAGGTGTCAGGCAACTATTTCCCCCCAGGTTACAGCAGGCAGTTTGCGTTTGCCTGGGGAACGCTACTGGGTATGGGCAGAGATTTGCAACCAAAGATGAAAGACCTTTCTCTTGGCCAGGAAGCATGTCTCAATGGTTTGCCACCAAATACCAATTTGTGGTGGCTGGGGACAGCACTCTTGGGTGATCCTAGGCTGCTGTTTCTCCCAACACTGTTCGAAAGACGTGAAAGCTACTAAGATGGGCTGGGGAAGGCAGTAGCTGGTGGGTGTGAGGTGGTGGTGACCTCCCTCGCTGAGACAGACAGCGAGCCTCAGTCCTCCTTGGAGACAGAAAGTCATCCTGCACTGTGCTGTGCTTCCCACCCGCTTCATCCCCGTTCTGTGGGTTGTTGGTGAGGCAAAAACTCATGAAGTGTGCGGCTACCCTTGATGCATTTCATTGTAAGGTGTGAGCAAATGGTAAAGCTGTGCTCCATGAGGAGAGGCATAGGGATGGATAACCGCATCCTGAATCCGCTACCCTAAGGAAGGAAGGGGAAGGGGGGCTGTCTGGTGTGCAGGAAGCTGCCACCAACTCTCCATCTTCTCTCATCCCTCAGTCTCCAAGAGCAGGCAACAAATAAAGTGTTGCAAGTCTCCTTTGCAGGCTGCTGGGGTACCGAAGGCGCACGCTCAGAAGCTGCTAGGCCGAGGGCACCACCAGCACATCAACAGATGATGCTGGCATGTTGCCTGCAGTTACAGGCCTGCCCTGCCCCCGGGTTCTCGAGAGGACACCACAGAGGCTGTCTGAAGGACCACGAAAGAGATCATGAAAAGAACACGAAGGAGAATACATGGCCTGTCTTCCTTTTGCCTCACATGTGGGGATCGATAGCTACCTACGGATGCATTTCAAACACTGATCAAGGGCTGGGGGAACACAAACTCCTTCCAGCCCCCCAACAGTGTCAGCCAGGGAAACCCTCTGCTCATCGCCTGATAGGGATTCAAGGTCACCAGGGAAGGGGTTCTGTGTTGGGACACATGATCCTAATTATAACTCCCACACCTTTTATTACACGAAGAGAAGAGTGTGTTGAGAGTCCTCTAGTCTGGGGCAGCTGAGACCCTGCAGGACTCACTGCTCTTCCGTTTTGCTGCTATTCCTGAACTTCACCACCATGACTGTGATATTGTCAGGGCAGCCTCTGTAGAAGGACTGCAGGACGATGCTCTTGGCCCCGAAGTGAGGCTCATCCAAGCGCTCCTTGATGAACCGCACTGCTTCTTCGTTGCTAAAAGCATCCCACAGACCGTCTGATGCCAAGATCATGAACTCGGGCTGCAGCTTGTCCAGGTCAAACGTCAGGATATCTGGGTCTGGGATGACCACGTTGAGATTCTTCAGTGGGTAATCTCCCAGGGATCGAGACATGGCTAGGATGCCCTGGACCCTCCAGGAGCCATTGAAACTGATGAATCCACCTGGAAAGACAGTGAGGGAGCCTGTTAGCTTGTGCAGCTGATATCTCTCACACCTGGTACCGTCCAGGTGTGTGCACCATAGGCTGGTCCACGATATGTGGGCGGGCCGCAGGTGATACCCCCCCCCCCTACACACACCTTTTCACTGCCAAGGCCAGCAGCATCTTGCTGCAGGGCCTGGGATGGACCTTCATGCTCTCATCCTGGGCACTGCTAATGCTGGCAGGAACGTTAAGGGTAGAGTGTGAGTGAAGACAGAGCATCAGTTTTAACACCACCGTGTGGCAGCTCAGTGACTGACACCAGGGAGCGGCAGCATGGGGACTTGAGGGTGGCGAAGAAGCAAGCGGACAGGCGGGGAGACATCCCTGAAACAGCCACTTAGTGAGGTCACTCGGGTGTACTGATGTGGGTCCCATCAGAACAGGGACTAAGGAAAAACATGTTTGAGGCATATTTAGTGACCGGGAATGAGAGATCCTCCCTCCTTGCTGCTTTATCTTCCCAGCTGCTAAATGAGTATCATGTTCATCTCATTGTCTAGTGAGAGGTTATTCCACACACATCTGGAAGCTGCCCGACGGTACTCGCTCAGTGTTTCCCAGTCTTCCGAACCCTTTCTTTTATCTTTGAGAGGGGACTAAAGTCTCTGAGAGTCCACAGCAGCCTTGAACTCGCTATATGGCTGAGGCTGGCCTGAATGTCTGATTCCTCTGTCTCTACCTCCTAAGCACCAGGATTAAAGATGTTCACCACCATCCCTGGCTTCTCTGATGCTTTCTTTAAAGGAGCTAGAACCGTGTTCATTCACGTATCTGTCAGATAGTTATTACATATCTATGCTGTAGAAGGGGATTTTTTTCAGGATATGAAAATTATATAAGAACTAGACTTTTTTTTCCCTGACACCCTGGAAGAGACAGAAGCCATGTTTGTTAAAAGTCACCAGGACCAAGTAGTACTGTTCCGGGAGAGGTTGGTGTCTGTTAACTACTGAAGTAAGGGAGGATGGGGGAGCGACTATGGGGGTGACCACCACAGAGGAGTGAGCTGTAAGGGGATGGTCAGCAGAACACTGGACAGTTCCAGCAAGTGTGGTATAGTGGGCAAGGACAAGGGCTCTGGAGTCAGTCATGGTGTTAACTCTGGCCTCGTCACTCACTAGCTGTATGTCTGTGGACACAAGCCTCTGCGGTTCCAGTTTACTGTCTATGAAGTGATTATAACATTATCATCTTACAGAGTGTATAAAAATGCATGTAGTGTACCAGGTGCGGCTCTTAGCACAGGGAGCAGCCGAGACTGACGCTGTTAGTGTACTGCAGAGACGGAAAGGTCAACATACATAATGTCCGGCTTCTGTCATGCTAAGCAGGAGGAAGAGAGATGCCCCGAAGTCTAGGGTCACAATAAACACAAATACAGATGAGAAACCCCATCACCATCCCTTAAGCCCTCCTAGGGCGATTGAAACGGAGATTCACGGCTGGGCCAGGCACACAGAATGAGAGACTGCCGAGGTTCTGCCCTACATGGAACATCTATATCATGCCCCCTCTGCCCGGGGTTCAGAGTTCACTGAGGCAGAGCAGGCAGAAAGAGTCTAAGAGCCAGAGGTGGTAGATGACTACACGGGAACTGGTTTTTGTTTCTGGTTGGTTTCCTTTTGCACACAGCAGGATAGCTGCACATAGGAACTCATGACAGTTGTGACAACGTGCACAGTGCCCGTGGAAGCTTAAGTATGGAGGTGAGAGGTGGCCATGATGTCTCCCCCCCTACCTGAGAAGCTATTGGCAACTGACAGCTGCTGGGAGGAAGCGAGTCAATTTCTGTAAGTGTGTGGCCCTTGGTAGTTAGACTGTGGTCCTAGTGGATGATGTCACATCTAAGGGAATATGAGCAGCACAGATTGGATTTGATGGGCATGGGGGGGGTGCAGCACAAGGTTGGGTAGGTAAGGTGATGGTTAATCTTGGCTGTCAACTTGACTATATCTGAGATATATACCCAAAACAGCTGGGCATGCGTGTGAGGGATTTTCTTGATTGGACTGTCTGAGGTGGGAAGACTCACCCTAAATCTAGGCTACACCTTCTGGCAGCAGCCTCCACACATAACAAGACATGGAAGGAGGAAGATTTTGCTCTTTGCCTACTTGCCTTCACTCTTGCTGGCAAGCTCATCTCTCCTGCTGCTGAGGCACATCTTTGCTGGTATTAGAATCTCTTTCTTTGGGAGACAATGTAGACTGAAGACCACATGGGACAGCTAGCCTTGTAGATGGTACAGCTGATGGATTCTTGGCCTTTTCATTGGGAGACAGCCACTGTTGGACTAGCTGGACCACAGCTTTGAAGCCAGCCAAATAAATCATGTATGTATGTATATGTGTATGTATGCATATTCCCAATCAGTTCTGTTCCACTAGAGAACTCTAACAAATGCAGGAAATCTGGGAGAGGTTGGGGGAGGAGATGAGTATGATCAAAATACACTGCATGAAATTCTCAAAGAATAAAAATATTTTAAAAATCACACCCTTGCCTAATTTTTGTAAATGAACAGGGTAATAAGTCAATTAATCCTAGAGATGGTGTGCACATTTGCTCGTAGAAGGAAGTGTGGTAGAGTGGGAGTGTGTGTGTCAGGTGTGAAGGAGGGCACAGAGGATAAGGTGATAGTGAAATTTCAAGAACACACGCTGGATACTAAGGAGGCGGTTCATGTGTGCATGTGTGTCCTGCCAGATTTAGCTATCCGGATCTTCAGTTTGGACTTAGCGTGGGCTCTCAGGAGGAGATGAGGCCTACATAAATGATTGTCGGAGTGTTTCACTTATCTTGCCTGGAGCTCTCCAAAGCTTGATGGATGCTCTGAAAACATTGTTCCATTTCATCATCAGAAAACCCGGGCAACACTCATTCGAAACTGTTCTGCATCCCAGCAGGAACTGAAGTGAGGGGCTAGAATCCAGCCCCTTTGGTCTCAGCCATACAGCTTCCTGCTGCGTGACTCCAGTGTTCATTAGGCTGTCTCATTTTCCCACTGGGCAGAAGCTAACCTGCAGTGAGCAAGGGTCACCCTGCAGATTCGAACACACAGCAGGGGTCCAGGCTGCTCAGCACATCACTGGGCTCTGAGGTGAGGGAGTGAAGGCATTCTTGCCTTCCATAGGTAGGAAACTCTCAGATCTGATCCTCCTCCTCCTCAGAGTTCAGTCTCAGTATCGCTTCACTGAACCACACATGGTAACCCATGCCTGTAATGAAGGACTTGGGAGGCAGAGGCAGGAGAATTGGGCCAGCCTGGGTGACCTGAAACTCCATCTCAAAAATGAATGAATTATCACCTTAGTGGTTTCACAAAGACCACCCCATTTAAAAACACCCCCATTTCTTCATTTGCTTTATGCACTGACACAGTAGTCACCACCTTATGATTTACCACAGAACTCATTCCTCTTTTGTGCCTCAACCAATTTCAGACTGTAAATTTCATAAGGGCTGTGTGTGTGTGTGTGTGTGTGTGTGTGTGTGTGTGTGTGTGTGTGTGTGGTGGAATAGGGTTTGTTGAATAAGCAGCAGGCCCTTCCACCTTCACTTAGGATGGTCACTGAGTTGGGTGCTGAGGTATGGAAATAACCAAGACCAAGTTCTTGCCTCCGAACAGCTCACAGACAAGAAGGCAAGACAGGCAAGAGTCAGCTGTGTGCACGCATTTCACAAGGCACCTGAAGAGACGTACTGAGGGTGCCTTTGCCCCAGTGGGACATGGAAGGCTTCCAACAGGACACACTACAGTTGGATTTGAAGGGAAGGGATACTACTTTTCACCCACTCCAGTGGAAATGGCACTTACAGAGGCACAAATATATCACCGGAGTTCACACTGGAGTGTTGGGAGTCTCGCATGGCTGTAAGGGAGCAGAGGTCTGGTGATCAAATTGGACTGGAAACCGAAGAGGGCTGTCTTTGGCCCTTCTGGAATCTTTGGCCATTAAGAAGGGCAAATTAAGTAATCATCAATAAGAAATGTACAGTCTAAGAATATAGACTAGGTAACAGTCATGCTACGGCGACCCCGTGTGCTGCTGGGTAAGTGAATTTGCTCCCTAAAAACTCTCCAAGAAAGCGCCTAGATCACCAAACAAGATCACCTCCAAGGGGCTCCCCAACTCACCAGCTCTCTTTATCCTCTTCCTCTCCTTGAGTTGGTAAGGCTTGTGGTCATGAGACAAGGGGATGGCGTTCCCATCTTTGTCACACAAGACTCCTCGAGAGTCACCAACATTGGCCACAGTCAGGTCCTTATCTGACAGGAGAGCAATCAAACACGTTGTGCCTGCAGGACAGAAGAGAGAGGCAGTGTCGGCAAGGGCAGGGCGCTGATGGTCCCTTGTTCCTCCTGATCACCAGACTCTTCCATCGTTAAAGCCTCTCTTGCCAGGAAGGAGTCTTACTTCAGCTGCTCCGGGAATGATCACGGTTCATTTCAACAACGTTGATCAAATCTGACAGTCCATTTTCCTAACTGTGTTACACTGTCACTGAAATAGGCTAGAAGAACAGTGTCATTTTCCTAAACCACTTTGCTTCTGCTACCCTTCATTTTAAAACACCACATTCAAAAGGATCAGGGCAGAATCAAAATCAGTTTGCAGCCCTAGACAGTTGGTACCCGTTGTCAATTCTCATAGGTGCTCAGTGTCGGATCAGTCCCACTGACAAGTGTGACGATGTTGAGATTGGGGATGGGGGACATCTCCTGAGATAGAGGCAGATGTCAACGACCATATCCTGTGACACTATGACAGAACCATTGGTGTCAGGAAAGGTCAAGCCTGAACACAGAAAGTCCGAGAGCAGAGCCTGGGGCTTAGAAAAGGGCAGCCAGCCCCAGGTGTGAAGGGGCAGGCTATGAAGGCAGAAGCAGAGACAGACATCTCCAGGTGGGACAGAGGTGGTCAGAGCCACCAGCTTGCCTGAAGCCCATACAAGACATGCTTTCCTCTGTTATTCTTTTTCATTTCAAAGAGAACAAAGAGAACGGAGCAGGCCTTTGCCTCGTCTGCCCTGCCCGCCACTGTCCATGGTCAAGTGTCTGCTGAAATGCACGGCTCACACTCATTCCGCTCGGGCCTCAGATCGTCACTCCTTTACTTTTGAAAAGCACTCCCTGGTCACCCTTAACAGTTCTTTCTCATTAGCAAAGTCGTACTCCATAATAAAAATGTAAACTGCATCTACATAACCTTTCATAGAACTGCAACAAAAGAGAGGACCCCATCCTTAACAGAAAGAACAAATACAGGTCGACGAGAGCAGGTTAGTTACGAGAATTAGCATATTCAGTTATGACTGTTTGACACCCCATTCTTTTTAAATTAAAGAAAATGACTGGGTGTGATTGGAGATGGTGCGGGGTGCAAGCAGTGTGGGTGCCCACAAAGGATCCCTAGTAAGGCCTTACTCAATCAAGGTCAGAGAATTTGAGCTTGCTTTACCCAGCAGGGCTGCATAATGGGATGATTTGGCCAGGGGTGTGGTTACCAGGTGTTTGGAAGGGTCTGCACTTGGCTGTGCGTTGTGCTTAGATCTTGAAAGGGGAGGTCTTTTGCCTATCCCCTAGGTAGTGTATAAAAAGTCCACTAAAATATATCTCCAGGTGGCGACTGGGTATTGACTCAGGGCCCTCCCAAAGCTATCCTGTGTCTTTGTCTTTCTCTGCGTCTACATCTATATTTCTATCTAATACTTCCTCATTCCTCTCTTCTCACCCAAGAACCCTTCAACAGATCGGAGCTGGACTCCAACTGAGCAGGTGCCAGTGCCCACCACAGCTCATGTATGCAGGTCAGAGGGTAACTTTTGAGAGTGGGTTCTCTCCTTCCACCTTGCTGATTCAAGAGTGCTCTTGTTTCTGCTGGACTGCTGACCCCTAGACTTCTGGCCAACTGGCCTCTGCCTTCCACTGTGTCGTACGAGTGCCAGTGTTACAGATATGTGCCACCATATCCTGCCTTTTCTGTGGGATCTGGGGATGGGATGTGACTCCGCTCACCAGTTGTGCATGGGAGGCCGTCTCCCTGGCCACTGGGATTCTAAACACTACTTACCTCAAAACTGACTTGATTAAAAATGGCAGCCCATGAAAGCTGGGTTACTTTAGGATTACGATATCAAAAAATGTTATGAAAATGAGAAGGAAGGGGAGACTGAGTGAGATTATGACTAAATATAACTAATCCTAATCTCAGATGTTATCAAAGCAAAATTTAAAAAAATGATTGTTTTATGTGCACGGGTGTTCTGCCTGCCTATATGCTGATGATGTGCCAGGTTTGTGCCTGGTGCCTGTGGAGGCCAAAAGAGGGCATCAGATGCCCTGGAACTGGAGTTACAGACAGTTGTGAACCACCATGTGGGTGCTGGGAATCGAACCCCAGTCCTTTGAAAGAGCAGCCAGTGTTCTGACAGCTAAGTTATCTCTCCAGCCCATCAAAAAAGTTTTCCCTTTTACTGGAAACAGATTTTTTTTCTCATATGATATATCCATTTATGGCCTCTCCCTCTGCTCATCCCAGCTCTTCCCCGCCTCCCATGCCATAGAGATCCATTCCCTCTCTGTCTCTCATAAGAAAACAAACAGGTTTCTATGGGATAATAATAAAATAAAATATAATAAAACAAAAACAAACACATCAGAGAAGGACAGAACAAGCGGAGGGAAAAGAGCCCAAGACAAGGACAAGAAACAGATACAGACACAAAGAGCCACTCATAAATATATACACATATCTATCATATATAAAATTATACAATAAGATAACTTAACAAAACAAAACTAAAAAGCCCTGACATGATATCATGAGACAAGAGACCTCCAAAGATTCGGTTAAGATTGTTTTCTGGCATCTACTGCTGGGCATGCAGCCTACCCTTAAGAGTAGTTTGTTTCCCCAGTGAGATTCCCTGGGGGCAAACTCAGTTTTCATCTGCCAGTGGTTATCAACTGGAGCTAACTTTTGGGTAAGAGGTGGGGCATGTGTCCACTTCTCCTTTCAGCTCCAGGACCCCAGCAGGTGCAGACCCATGCAGGCCCTGGGCATGCCGCCACCTCAGTCTCTGTGAGTTTATATGAGCATAGATCTTGTTGATTTCGAGGGCCTTGTTTCCTTGGTGTCTTCCATCCCCTCTGGCTCTTACACTCTTTTCTCCTCCTCTTCCCCAGGGTTCTTTGAGCCCTGAGGGAAGAGATTTAATGGAGACATTCTGTTTAGGGCTGAGTGTCTCAAGGTCTCTCACTCTGCATAAAATTGTCTGGCTGTGGATTTCTGTATTTGTTTGCATCTACTGTGGAGGAAGCTTCTATGATAATGGCTGGAAAAGGCAGAATGTCATTAGGAGTCATTTTACTGCTACAATCTTTTAGTAGAACAGAAGTATTTGGTTTTTCCCAGGCCCCTGGCCTGTCTAGTCTCAGGTTCTTGGTCCCCCAAGCAGTGTTGGGTTTGCGTTCCATCTCATGGAGTGGGCCTGAGGTCACCATTGGTTACCATGATAAGCTTTGTCTCACCATTATATTAGCATATCTTGAAGATGGGAAACCCTTGTAGATCAAAGGGTCTCTAGCTACTTTGGTGTTTACCTTTTTCCTTTGGTAGTATGCAGAGTACTTTCCAGTACCAAGAACAGTAGCCCCTAGAGGTAAAGGCTCTAGATAGGCATCAGCTGGACTTCTTCAAGTCCTGCTTTTTCAATAAAATTGTGTACCTGTTGCCTTCAACTATAGATGTCTTGTCATTAGTTTGTAGAGAATAATCTATAGCCTTGGCAAGAGACTGGGTTGTTTGGGGGTTCCCATGAGACCCTTTAGGCCAACAACTCAATTAGATGTTGTAGCTGAAGTTTTCTCCTGTCCCACGTTCAGGAAAAAGCTCTCTCACTCACCAGTCCTGCAGCCACTCAGACCTAACCAAGTAAACACTCAGAGACTTATATTGCTTACAAACTGTATGGCCATGGCAGGCTTCTTGCTATCTACTTCTTCTATCTTAAATTAACCCATTTCTATTAATCTATAAGTTGCCATGTTGCTTGTGGCTTACTGGTATCTTACATCTCGCTTTTCATGGCGGCGGCTAGCAGCATCTCTCTGCCTCAGCCTTCCACTTCCCAGAATTCTCCTCTCTCCTTGTCCCACCTATACTTCCTGCCTAGCTACTGGCCAGTCAGTGTTTTATTTATTAACCAATCAGAGCAACACATTTAACATACAGAACATCCCACAGCAAGATGTAACCTATTCCCCATATTAGAAACTTTATTTGGTGACAAGAGATATCCAGTTGGTGATCTGTCTCCCCTACATTTTGATGATTTCATTTAGTGACATACCTCACCATAATAAAGGCAGTTTACAGCAAGCACATAACCAACATCAAATTAAATGGAGAGAAATTCAAAGCAATTCCACTAAAATCAAGAACAAGAAAAGGTTGTCCACTCTTTCCATACCTATTCATATAGTACTTGAAGTCTCAGCTAGAGCAATAAGATAACTGAAGGAGACCAAAAAGATATAAATTAGAAAGGAGGAAATCAAATAACTTTATTTGTAGATTATATGATAGTATATATAAGTGATTCAAAAGTTTCACTGGAGAACTCCTACAGCTGATAAACACATTCCACAAAGTAGCTGGATACAAAATTAACTCACAAAAATCAGTAGCCTTTCTATATACAAATGACAAATGGACTGAGAAAGAAATCAGGAAAGCGACACCTTTCCCAATAGCCTCAAATAATATAAAATATCTTGGGGTAACTCTAACCAAGAAAGTGAAAGAACTTACATGATAAAAACTTTCAAACATTGAAGAAAGAACTTAAAGAAGATATCAGAAAATAGAAAGCATGCCCATGCTCATTTATTGGTAGGATTAATGTAATAAAAATGGCCATCCTACCAAAAGCAATTTACAGATTCCATGGAATCCCCATCAAAATTTCAACACAATTCTTCATAGATCATGAAAGGAGAAATTTCAGTTTCATATGGAAACACACACACACACACACACACACACACACACAACCAAAATAGCTAAAACAATTCTGAATAATAAAAGAACTGCTGGAGGTATCACCACCTCTGATCTTAAATTGTACTACAGAGCTATAGTAACAAAACAGCATGGTATTGGCACAAAAACAGAAATGATAAATGGGATTGAATTGAAGACCCAGACTCAAGTCCATACACCTATGTTCACATTTGTGTGTTTGTGTGTTTGTGTGTGTGTGTGTGTGTGTGTGTGTGTGTGTGTGTGTGTGTGT